TAACACCTACCATTCCTCCACTGATCTCTCACTCTCCCTCGCAGTCCCACCCTAACACCTACCATCCCTCCACCGATCTGTCACTCACCATCTCAGCCCTACCCTAACACCTACCATCCTTCCACCGATCTCTTACTCACCCTCGCAGTACCAACCTAACACCTCCCATTCCTCCACCGACCTCTCACTCACCCTATTAGCCCTACCCTAACACCAACCATCCCTCCACCGCTCTCTCATTCACCCTCTCAGTCCTACTCTAACAACTACCGTCCCTCAACCGATCTCTCACTCGCCCTATTAGACCTACCCGAACACCTACCATCCCTTCACCGATCTCTCACTCGCCCTCGCAGTCCCACGCTAACACCTACCATTCCCCCACCGATCTCTCACTCCCCATTTCAGTCCTACCCTAACAACTACCAACCCTCCCCCGATCTCTCACTCAGTAGTCCCACTCTAACACCTACCATCGTTCCACCGATCTCTTCCTCACCCTCGCAGTCCCCCCCTAACACTTACCATCTCTCCACCGATCTCTCCTAACAACTACAATCCCTCCAACGATCTCTCACTCACCTTCGCAGTCCCACCCTCACACCTACCATCCCTTCACCGATCTCTCACTCAGCCTCGCAGTCCCACCCTCACACCTACCATCCCTCCGCCGATCTGTCACTCCCCATCTCAGCCCTACCCTAACCCCTGCCATCCTTCCACCGAACTCTTACTCACCCTCTCAGTCCTACCCTAACCCCTGCCATCCTTCCACCGATCTCTGACTCACCCTCTTAGACCTACCCTAACCCCTACCATCCCTCCCCCGTTCTCTCACTCACCCTTTCAGTCCTCCCCTAACACCTACCACCCCTCCACTGATCTCTCCCCCCCCCTCGCAGTCCCATCCTAACACCTACCATCGTTCCACCGATCTCTTCCTCACCCTCGCAGTCCCACCCTCACACCTACCATCCCTCAACCGATCTCTCACTCAGCCTCGCAGTCCCACCCTCACACCTACCATCCCTTCACCGATCTCTCACTCTCCCTATTAGACCTACCCGAACACCTACCATCCCCCCACCGTTCTCTCACTCCCCCTCGCAGTACCACCCTAACACCTACCCTCCCTCCACCGATCTCTCACTCACCCTATTAGACCTACCCTAACACCTACCATCCCTCCACCGATTTCTCACTCACCCTCGCAGTCCCACCCTAACACCTACCATCCCTCCACCAATCTCTCACTCACCCTCTCAGCCCTACCCTAACACTTACCATCCCTCCACCGATCTCTCACTCACCCTCGCAGTTCCACCCACCCTCTCAGTCCTACTCTAACAACTACCCTCCCTCCACCGATTTCTCACTCACCCTCGCAGTCCCACCCTAACAACTACCATCCCTCCACTGATCTCTCACTCACCCTCGCAGTTCCACCCTAACACCTACCATCCCTCCACCGATCTGTCACTCACCATCTCAGCCCTACCCTAACACCTACCATCCCTCCACCGTTCTCTCACTCACCCTGGCAGTCCCACCCAACACCTACCATCCCTCCACCGATCTCTCACTCACCCTCTCAGCCCTACCCTAACACTTACCGTTCCTACTCTGATATCACACTTAGCTCTTTCACCACCACTCTAACACTAATCATCCCTCCACTGATCTCTCACTAAGCCTCTAACCAAGATCCTAACTTACCATTCCTCCAATGATCTATCACTTTGCCTCTCATTTCCACTAAACACTTACAATCCATCCATCGATCTCTCACTCACCCTCTCAGCCCTACCCTAACACTTACCATCCCTCCACCGATCTCTGAGCCTCCTACCTATAAAGATGCCTATCGCACAAGAGCAAAATATACTATCATGCACTCACATAAGTGCATAGTGGTAAAACATATTGTGATAGATGCCTGCGCTCCACTTTAGCACATGTCATCCCACAATTACTATCCAAGGCCAATCCTGCACTAAAACATCTCCCCTCCACAACACTTATAACACCTACACCCGATCTCCCAATCAAGTATGGCTGATTAATTAATCCTACATAAGAACATATGTCTTTTCGCCTTTTTAACCTAATTCCCGACTAGTTTAGGTAAAGCTCCCGTGAATCGACCTCCTAATCTACCCACGCGGCAATGACAATAACTGTGTAAAATGTCACAAACACTAAAGACGACAACCGCCAGCCTCTGTACCAGTTCTCAGTTGTCTGACCTTTAATATCTTCTGCCTACACTATTTCTGGACTCTCCCACCTATAAAACTAAAACAGCTTTACAAATTGTTTGCCACTAAATCCACCTTCAATGGCTTTTTAATGGGAGTTTGTCTCTCCCAAGATAACGCCATTGTTTTCAATCTGGTAAAATATAAAGTATTGTGAGATCATATAAACAGTTATGTTAAATGACGCCGTTGCGTAGGCGTGCAGTTTTCATGAAGTTAACCCGAAGGAGTATCATCAACTTCGAAAAAAACACCTATATATATATATATATGCAACCTTAACTTGTCCACACTGTTGGAATTACTTCTTTGCCCCATATACTATTATAAGTAATTCGTATCCTACGGACATACCTCCATTAGGATCCAGTGTTATATGGGATTTTACCGTCTATATTACTTCTTTGACCCATATATATACATACATATATATTTAAGGTAAAATAAATAGCTAAATCAACTGACATTTTCCGGAATACACTTTGCAGTAAAGATTGATTTACTATACCTCTCATTCCATATACTTTGTGTGGTTATTTTGGCAACGTTACTATGCCACATAGAGAGTGTATACATTTAAAGAGAATCCTACGCTGCAATCGCACTGTGATCATTTGGATTACGTCAAAACAACGACCCATCTGTACCAGTGTAAAATAAATAGTAAAGTCTGGGTCCTATATTACTGCCAAATAACTTAATTTTTAAAAATCCTATTTTGAAACGCTGTTTTCGAGTGAAAATTGTCTATGATGGAACTATCAAATGTAGTTTGATAAGGGTGAATATCAACAGGTTGGTTTTAGTCTGTTCAAAGACCATTTGATCCTATTAAATCCATGGAATATAAATAAAGTAAACTTTAGATCACGAAAATCGAAAGTGTTTCATATGGTCTCAATCGATGTTAACAATACACGTATTAGAAGCTATCGATTCTATCCTAATCATATAGATAACAACCTGTCCAAATCGGGCCCTTAATAATCCGGAAAAACCACACCGTCTATTAGTATTTGTGCATGCTTAATCCGGAAACCTTCCTACAAATATTCCAAAGAAATATCCCATACACTATAGATAAGATGATATCTCATAGACTAAATCAGATATCTTCATCAATGTAAGAGATATCGTGTTTAAACAATAAAGACAATCCCAATCATTGCGATATCACAACTAGCTATCTTTATCACTTATCATTATCTTGAATTCATTTTGATATAGTTCGTGTATATATCTATCAAGTTTTAAAATATCTCTATTTGAACTTTAATGTCGGGACCCATACTGTTCCACTCGAATCCATCTCGAATCTACACAGGAATGTATCATTATATAGGTATGAAATAATTATCTCGTTTTTAAAAATCGCTGTAAAAGATTTATTCGTAAAATGTGCGCCAACCGTTGAAGTATGTTGTTGGCGACACTTTCATGACACAGTACGTTTAAGGATAAAATGGAGCCCGATTCCGAACACTATCAAACTTCTGACCAATACTTGATGCACAGCACCACAAAAAAGACCGATATCCTAAACATTTCGACACTACCAACACGACATTTAATTCAATTCTAAAATCGAAAAACCTTGATTTCATAATTTCATTAATTATGAATATAGCGTAACGAAGCAATCAAATAGAAAATACTCCCCAGCATTTAATCGGATATACAAGAGCTGGTATTATACACACACAAAACCGTTTGTTCACAGGAAGAATAACAACCTTGAGAAATACTGAGAGTTAATATGTCGACCGATAATATACAAAGAAGAACCTGAACAATTAACTTTCCTACGCACACCTTTACCTAATTCATATACAGTTCTATGGCGACGCCCATGGAGCATATAACATCTACACAAGAGCGACCAGACAACCCAAAGAGGTTCCGAAAATCAGTGAATACGCGTTACATGGGGTTAACAATGTTAGAAATTTTCTTTTGCAAGGAATGAGTCGTAAATGCAATTTCGAAATCATTAACTGCAAACCGTATACAACGCCTACGATTAATACATTTATGGTTCCAACCCTTTGACATTTGGCATAGTGCTGTATTTCTATCTCGGGAAAGGTCACAGTAGCCCTTGGATTACAATAAAATGGGATCATATAGCACCCTTCATGTCAAGAAGAAGGGTCATAAGTTCAGTCATGTGTGCCTGTGAATGGGTATACACACGACACTAATTATTGTCCAGTATCACACGTACCCGGCAAGTACATAAACGTACAGCTAACAATATGTTACACTTAGGAATCAACACAGCGGCACTCCACACACCAAATCTGAGTACACACGTACTTAGGGATGTGGTCAGGACCACAACACCACACAAAAAGCACGTGTATTTCTCACCCTGTCCCCTACCCACCCCAGTCCCATGCGTACCTTAAACGGGGATACTCTAGAGCTCACGTGTCTATAACTCCTACACTCCTATGAGGCTTTCCTACCAGAACAGGCTCACGTGCCAACATTCCGATTAATACCCGACAACCTTTTACCAGTAACAAATGCACATATTTACAATAACAACATGTACCCGACAAACCCTGATTTCAAATTCAATGTCAATTTCCGATCTACTCCACCCAATCTGTAGTACCGGAAGCTGGCACCCACGCAATATCATTCACCCCAATGCACTACACGTGGTTTACCTGACACGTGTTATACCATATTGAGAGATATCATGAAGGTACCACTGTACCCGGAATGTTTACTTACCTCCTCTCGCCCACAACAAAACATCACAGCGTTCCTCAAATCCAAAACCAAGCTGGTCAACCACGGCAAAATCATGGATAAATGTTCCAAGCATTTGGTCCTGCAAGCTTTTCATATCTTCCGTCGATGTGATCGGTTAATATCAGCTCTGATAACGAACTCATACATTGTTATAAGAGGTGGCACAGATGAGGAATACAGATTATACCATGATGGGGATGGAAGGTCGAGTACCTGGTATTTCTCGTCATGGTTTTGGCGTCCGTGTCTTGCAGGTGGAGGTGTCTGTTAGAGTGTCACCAGTGACAGTTCAGCCTCTGTAATATATGGCAGAGACGTACCAGACATTTATCACCATGTGTCACAGCTGTGCATTGGCACCCAGTACAGTGTAAGGTAAACGTGTGTACACAACAATGTTGACGGCCGAGGGTGCCTGCTGGAATATCGATGGCGATTGATCACAGTACATATAAAAGGAAGCACTACGCCAGCAGTGCTATTCACACCGGAGAAGGCCCCTCAGATAGAAAGGTCGGCGAGGATAATACAAACCATCGATACCAATATCCACTTTCCTCCGCGTCAGAACATTTCACCAGAGATGACATTTGTGTTATCGATATCCTTACACAGACTCTCCATCATCAGCCACAGAAACATTCCCGCCATTTCTCGATCTATTCCAAAGCTATTTGTCGTCTGCCGCCGGAGACCGCGAGCCCCGCGCGCTAGTAGGCCGTGCCGGAGTGGACAGTCCACTGTGTGTATGAAACGCCAGGACCTATTGACTGACCGTTGACGCTAGGTGCCTTGGCTTTCCCATGGTTGGTATAGCGACCGTGTCTACGAATTGCAGCCATTTTAAATGCCCTAGCTCAATTTGATAGAAGCGTGCATTCATAAATAAAACATCAGGCGAATCTTTAAGGGCTTTGGCGGAAGTCGTAACTGCACGTTCTAGATCCGATTAAGCCCGCCTAGTATCGATATGTACTTGGTGAACGCAAGGTGTCTGTGAGGTAAGTAATAGCGCTTTACAAACATTGGGTCCCAGGAAACCAACTGCCTAATGGTCCGATGTACTAAAAAATAACGTAGCTGTAAATAGTACCAACACCAATCACTGTTCCGTGGTCACTAAGGAGTTCCAAACAGATCGTATAAACGTCAGAACGGACTTTCTGTATGACAGTCAATCACTGGGATGTCCTAAAGTTTGCCCTACGTATCCTGTTCAGCTGTTGGCGTTATGAGTTTCGGAGGTGTGGTGAGGTTCGCAGGTGTTGTTAGCTTCGTAGGCAATATGAGTTTTGGAGGCGTAGTGAACTTTTGAGGTGAGATGTTGCCCTTTGGAGGTAGTTTGTCTTTTGAAACTGTTGTGAATTTTGGAAGTATTGTCCTTCCGTTGGGGGTATTGTACCCTTGAAGGCGTTGTAATCTTTTGAGAAGTTCTTCTATGGGAGCCTTATAACCGTTGTACCGCTTTAGTGGTGTTGAACTTTAGATGTGTTATGATGTTTTGAAGATGTTGCCTTCTGGAGGCGTTGTGGCCTTCAGAATGGTTGTGACCTTTCCACCTTAAAAGGGTTTTACGTATATCTTAGGTTGTGTAATGTTCTGTAGGGTTGTATTTGTGACGTTCAGAGTTATCGTGATTTTTATAACTAATTCTCAGTTTATATAGTGACGTGAAAGATGACAATGTAATCAATATGTGGTTAAGAGCTTACGTGAAAGTGTAGTTAGGAACGCAGCAGCCATGATGGTGCGAGTGTGGAACTAACTACGTCCAAACAGCGCGGCTATAATGTACTTACACAACGTCTTATGATTCAAGTTCCTATGCTAAATTATGACGTTTGAAAAGTTTCCTCATCTGTATCAAAATTGGGATATGTATGTCATAAAATCATTAACATTACTGTCACTGGCAACTCGGTCCGGACGGTACGAATTCTTTGGCTATAATATCGGCATCGACAATAATTAAGGTCAATGATGAAGCATCCGATGAACGATCTTTCCACAAAAAAAAAAAAAAAAAAAAAATTATGCTTGAACAGTTGATAGGCGAAGTATCAATCCATCATAGGTATTCGTACAAGATGGAAGCACATATATAGTTCAACACAAGTTGCTCAATCCAAGTACACTGTCTCCACGCAACGATGCTCGTACTGGTTATTCTGTGACACACTTCTCCTGTCAGCTAGTCCTAAACCCGTATCTCTCTCGACTATTGGTCCCGTGCACGCTTTTTCGTCCCACGAGCGCATTAGCGTGGCATCATCATTAGAAGCAATGTTATTAGTGGTTATAAGTATCCGATACTTTGTTACCATACATCAGAGGGGTGTATAGTAACATATGTTACTTGTACCGCAAATGGAAGCACCAATCTTCGTCACTCTGACGTATCGTTACAGCTGATACTATGCCAAAGGGTGATTCCCCACAAGACATATAGGCGAAGTAACAAATAACTTTATGAGGTAATTACCTCATCATCATCCCGGTGATGTGAGGGTTACACAGCATTAACGTCGATAGACCTCCTTGTCGCATTACCACCGATACGACTCGACGTGTAAGAATGCTTCTACACGCATAGCACATAAGACGGGTAACAATGGTATGATTAAGTTACTTTGTGTGATTATCACATAGATTGGTATAACAATAACATTAGCGGTTATCGGTCCCTTGGCCTTTACCATTGATAGTATACTACTACCACTCGTAGTAGCGAGAGTATCAATGGGCGTTTACTATGTTCCTCCCTCACAGATCGATAGCTGATCGGAATTCCGTGGTCCGGCACCCCCTCACACACTAACAACATGTCACGTGATCTGCCATAACGGTCCGACTTTCTACCAACAGTTCATCATTACTTATTCCCAGCATTGATTATCCGTTTCTATGGCAACCACACACATTTAAAAGGCACCGAGCGTCCTATATGACAGATCATAGATTGGCATCCAGCCGTCAATCGATAGGGAATTAGCGTTTTTGCCGCCAAAGCGTTTCTCCTCACCTTGACCGCTGGCTATTATGGGGGTTGCAATTGCCTTATAGTTAGTGACGCTCACACGTGCGTCCAGCTCGTAATTTGCGGTAGAAATAGCGCGAATAAAGCTGAAGATAGCGCGTGCCTCTCAGGTACGTCCAGCTGGACTACAGAAATTACTCTTCCTGAAACTGACCGCTGTAATCATATTGTCCAGTCCGCCATCATTATCGGTGGGCTGATCTATACGCGGTCAAGCCTGGCGGCACTAGCGCTGGGGTTCTGGCATCAAGGTATCGGTCATTTCTCTGATTAACTCTTTGCGTGATTTGACCAATGTAGTAAATATTTATTTCTACGTGTAATCATAGTTATTGGTCGCTTGGGTCAATATTGATCATGTCTAGAGAAAGTTCACTAACGGCACAGATGCCGTGAAACGTTATCACAGCTGATGCCGATATCTTAGGTAAGCGGTCCAGTATTCGCTTTGAATCTTTGAATCCCAGATTTGTATATCACTTGATCGACGATATTGCCGCAGCAATCCCTCCTATAACATGTTGCCTCAATGTATATTTTCAGTCCCAATCCTAACACATAGAAACACGAACTTTGGCACAGCGCCCTCTCTATTTATACAACATTATAAAACGCTTTATATAAAACAGATCTTAAACTACAACAATTGCTAAGATAAATGCAGTGTAAAACTGTACTGATAAAACAGCAACTGTTCCGACGGGAATAGAGAGTTCAAAAGTGTTTCAAAGACCTGGATTTTCCAGGACGTTTGAAAAACAGCTTATGATCCAAATGTCCGGAGGGAGGTTGGTACGTAGACTATACTTTTGATGCTGATTTGTTTAAAACATCGGTTTCCACAAGTGACGGAGCGTGTTGTCGGTATTAATCTACACTCGGACGGTACTCTACTGGTAGCCAGTTTAAAATCCATCGACCTGTGTTTTTTAGAAGGTTGTGGTCAAGAAATGTCGGATGCAACCGATACATGTTAAGATACTGTTACTCTTACAGACGATAATGTCTAACGACACGCTTCCAATCGAACTGAGAAAGTGTACCAACTTTCCTGAAGTCTCATGATCATTTATGTTACGGTCCCATCAGATTATTTTTTTTATAGGAAAGCTTTTTTTATGTCAAATATAATTGGCTTTAATAGACTAAGCACTTTTTGGAGCCAACACAGAACCTTGGCAAACAGCAAAGACCTAACATAAACCTATGTGATAGTATGCAATACCTGATATAGACATATACAGCATGCACCTTCTTCGTGTAACACCCCGTTAAGATCGGTCAGGCCACTTCCGCTTGCATTGGTATAAAGTGTTCGGATTTCATCATGAAAGGGATCTTATCATTTCTCTGAATGATTGTATTGCCGGGAATCGAAATATCTGTAACTTACAATTTCTTATATCGATCCGGATGATATTCTCTTTTAAAATATATTAGATATATACATCAAATATTACAAAAGCGATCGATATAGGATCAGACCAGCAGTAAAAAGGATGCGGTGGAGAATGTTCGGATAATTGGGCCCGCTACATACAAATCATTGATCCCCGTTTTATGATCACATAATTGTCATTTGTATCACCCGTTTGCCACGTCGTTACAAGGGCTATTCCGAGATAATCAGGCGATAAACATGTCACAGCGAGGCCCTCACGTGCTCCTATATGTACGTCAGAGCAAAGAGACGGAGAAAGCGTAATGTTGAATGTTCTCGACAATCGAAATAAAATTTTCTGAGTTAAGGACTTTGTCGAACTGATTCTCCTCCAGGATACAATAAAGGTCTTTGTATGACTTTATCATTTACCCTAAAGCACCATAGAGTGACGGTTATTACATGCAGACCGTAGTCACACATAAGGGTTACGGCAAAGGTAGCGCGCACGGACGGGCACCTGTTAGCACACAGACGCTGACTATCAATAGAGTAAGTGGTTTTGTCCCGATATGGCATTAATTTTGTAGGGTAATACCTTCCTGAATATAAGCGTACATTACTTATGCTACGAATTCCCAGGGTTTCCATTTATGTACTTTTTTTTTCATACAGTGAATATATCCCCGACAGAACCCCTCGGTATATCAGCTACAATCTGGCATTATAATATAGGAACAAACACCTCCACCCCTTGTCCTTGTATCCGAATAGAAGAGGCAGGGAATTTTACGAATCATATCATGGTTTCGGATGAAATACATCGAACACGCCTTCATGAATCTAGATATCAGCTGATCTCCTATCTAATCTTAGACCTACAACATAGCAAAGGTCTGATAAATCATTATTTTGAGAGTATTCTAAACACTTTAAGATTTTGCCATGATCTGCAAATATGTAGGATCTGTAATCTGTGACACTG